ATTGAACTCAGGACCTTTGGAAGAGCAATCAGTGCTCTTAACCTTTGAGCCATCTCTCCAGCCCCTGTTGTTGGTTTTTTAAGACATGGTTTCTCTATGTAGCCCTGGCTGGCCTGGAACTCACTGTGTAGACCAGCTGGATCTGCCTGCCTCTACCTCCTGAGTGCTGGGATTAAACGTGTGTGCCACTGCACCCAAATCAGTACTTTACAATTTTATTTTCTCTAGTATTATTGTGGTTTTAGGAGGGAAACAATTAAGTGTGTGTATTCAATACAACTTTTTTAAACTTGGTTACTTAAGCAATTAGTAATCATCAAAATAAATTTTAGGGCTGAGCAGTGGTGGAGCATGCCTTTAAGCACTTGGGAGGCAGAGGCAGGTAGATCTCTGAGTTTGAGGCCAGCCTGGTCTACAAAGCAAGTTCCAGGACAGCCAGGGCTACCAAGAAAAACCCTGTCTGGAAAACAGAAACAAAAAAAACAACAAAATAAATCTTAAAGATATGAGCTGTTTCTGCCTTACTGATAGCGCCTGAGCCCCATGTGAAGTATGTCCAACTGCACATCCTTCAGTCCTAGTTCTTGCCTTCATAGATGACCCACCTCTCACCTAGTCCTGCTTTCCACCTCTAGGTAGGATGGCTGGTCAGAAAGTCATCTTTGCCCCAGAGGTGCTTTTCTGTAATTACTATTTATGGTAGCCACTTTTGATTGTCCAGTTGAATGGACTAGTAAAGCACACCTCAGTGGGCTGTGATGGTGTTTCCAGAGATAGTTATCTTGGGGGCTCTGCCCTAATGAATGTGTTAATTCCTTTATGAATTCATAGTATACTGATTGGGGGAAGCAGGGTCACATACTCATACTGGCCACTTCCTACATTCCCCTTTTCTGTTTTTTATCTACTAAGAAGTGAAGAACAGCCTCTGCCCCATGCTCCCCTTCCAGGATGTTCTGCCTGACTACACAGGTCCAAGCACCCATTGGCTGAACCCTCTAAAACTGTGAGCTGAGATAAAGCCTTCCTCCCTTAAGGTATTTCTGTCCGAAATTTACCACACAATGGTAAAACGCAACTAATATATAATAACTTCAAGGAAAGTGTTGAAGGCTAGAGGTACAGCCCTGTAGTAGAATGCTTGGCTGGCATGCATACACAAGGTCCTAGGCTCAGTCTCCAGTACCACAAAAGAAGAAAAAAGAAAAATGTTTGTATGTCAGTTTGCTTTTATAATCAGGCTGCAGTTAAATGTGTGATTTTCATTAGACTTATTTAAATTTTGAAAATAGCCGAGCAGTGGTGGTGCACACTTTTAGTCCCAGTGCTCGGGAGGCAGAGCAGGAAGATCTCTGTGAGTTAGAGGTCAGCCTGGTCTACAGAGAGAGTTTCAGGCTACACAGAGAAACCCTGTCTCAAAAAACCAAAAATTAAAAAAAAAAAAACAAAAAAAAAAACACACCTGAAGGTCCTTGGCTGCCTTTGGAGGGACCTCCTGGTCTGGGAGTCCAGTGTAAGATGCAGGTCTGAACACTATAGGTGCAAGAGCAGTGCAAACCTTTTCTTTCTCGCCTCTTCTGTGTTCCAGAGATGTTATCAAGTGGCTGGTCAAAGCAGTGACTGAAAATGAATTAACACAGCCCCCAGATGGGACTCAGACCTCTTCAGGAGCAGGAGTCTTGAAAGCTAGCAGTGACCACTTGTCTCCCCAGCCTAACCTGACCAGGAACACCAATCAGCTGTAAGGAGCAAACAAGGAGCTGTCTTCCAGGGCTGCGAAGAGTTGGTATTTAAAGAGTAGGACCAGTCCCAAAGAGCAGCTTGCCCCAGATTACCAACCTCTGTAACACAGGCTGATTCTCACTAAGGACTTAGTCTGGACTAGGAGTGTAATGATGATAGGATCCTTGTGTGGCGTGCTTTAGGACCTGGATTTCACCAGCAGAAAGGGAGGGAGGGCTGCTGCTTACAGGTCCTCACTGCTAAGCCTCCATGCCTGCACCTTCCAGTTCTCATTCAGTGTCACTTCCCCCTTTCCAGCTCCCTTTTGTGGACACTAACCAAAGTCCTGAGCCTGCTTTGCCCGACACCGGGCACCTGCTCCCTTTGGGGACACCCCCTTCCTGCTCCTTGACTTCTAGTCTGATCCATCTCCTACCTCCCAGCTGCTCAAGACTTCTAGCTTGCCTGTCCTGTTGTTTTCTCTCAAACTCTAATAAAACTGTCCTCATGTTTAAAAAAAACAAACGTGATTAGACTTGGACAGAGACAACATAGTAACTTATAAACCTCTCATTGTAGGCCAGAATCTGTCCATTATTTGCCACTGTCTGCCGTTTCCTCTGAAAAAAATGCCCTTCCATCAAATACCTATTTAAATGACTAGTAAGCCAGACTCACCCTTCTGAAGTGTTGCCCTAGCTTCCCAGCCACGTCTCTGCCTCTCTCCCATATTTGTGTCTGAAGGGAGAGAAGGTGAAAGTCCAATGGTGGACATTCTGAAAGTAGTCTTGGTAAGAACTACTGTGTCATAAAGAAACCAGGAATAGGAAAATTACCTGGTAGGGCTAGAGAGATGGCTCAGCAGTCAAGAGCACTGGCTGCTCTTCCAGAGTACCCACCCAGTTCAATTCCCAGCACCCACATGGTGGCTTACAACCACTTGTAACTCCAGTTGCAGGGGATTTAGAGCCCTCTTGACCTGTAAGGATACCAGGCAGTATGTGGCATGTAGACATACTTGCCTGAAAAATATTCATACATAAAAGTAATTAATTTAAAATTTTTGAAAATTTAATGGCAGATGCTTGTCTTCTCCCATAACAAAGAAATTAAAATAAAGTTAGTCACTTTGGACCTGTTTCTTCATTTACAAAGTAGGGACATTACAGTGTCTTAAGTTCTCTAGACCCTTAAGATTGTGTGCTTCTGCTTATGTAGTTCACCCTCAAATTATGACAGGTTCACATATGATCTGGCAAAGGGATTCAGATGGATGAATTCTCAGTGAGCTAATAACTTGATTACTCTCCTTGCCTGGCCTGTTGTGTGTTTGCTGACCCTCTAATAGTCTCTGTCCTTGTGTTGTTGCTGTTTGCTTGTTGGTTTTGTTTTGTTTTGTTTTGTTTGTGAGAGAGTCTAACCATGTAACCCTGGTTGGCCTGAAATTCACTGTGTAGACCAGGCTGGCTTTGAACTTAGAGGTTTTCTGAGTGCTGGAATTAAAGGCATGCACCTGCACACCCAGCAGTCTGTTCTTGGGATACACTGGTGGGGACCCCCAGCTTCAGGAAGCCTCTTACCAAGTCTTCCCACTCACTTGTATCCTGTGCTCTGGATCCAGAGTTGTGTGTCAGCTTCAGAGGATGTTGTCCATTGCTGTGGAGGTGGACAGGACTCCTACCTGCAGCTCCAATAAAATAGCTGAGATGATGTTTGGGTTTGTGCTGGACATCCCTGAGAGAAGTCAGAGGTAAGTTTAGTGGGATTGGTTTGTTTTAGTTTGGGTTGATTTCTCCATTAAAAGGAGAACTAAAAAGCTATTTTTTTTAAATTAACTTTTTTTTTGAAATCTCTGCCTGCCAGAAACAGAATTTTAAGAAAAAAAAAAAAAAAAAAAACACAAACTAATTGAAAAAGGATAAAAGGGGTAGGAGAACTACTTATGTCTTTGAGATGAAAGGAGGAGGTTCCCAAATAATCGATGTGCAGTCAAGGCATAATTCCTTGGGAAGAAGCAGGACACTGTCAAGGCATCCTGAATCTCCCATAGCAATTTGATTAACAAGTCATCCTTCAAGCTTAGACTTGGAATAAACAAAAATAAATAAAAGCTAACACTAAGTTTTTCTCAGAAGGGGTAAATTGGCCACCCACCCAAATTATACTACAAGATACATGAAGTACCGTTTACTTTGATTCATTATTAATTCAGGTATAATTTGCAGTTATCTTTTTTTTAACTGTTAAACTCCACAGGTTTACACAGGTAGTACTCATGAGTCCTGACAAATGCTGACCTGTCATTTCCCAGTGGCTTGCTGGTAGTATGAGATCCTGCAGCCTTGGGGGGATGGCTCAGTAGGTAAAGAAAGGTACCTGCTGCCAAGCCTGCCAGTGTGAGTTCAATTACTGGGGCCCGCACAGAGGAAGGAAAGAACTGAGTCCCAACACGATGTCCTATGACTTCCACCCACATGCCATGGCATGAAGACAGACACAGACAAAATTAATAAGAAATGTAAAAAAAAAATTAAGATGGAAGATGGTTTCCTTAATGTTTAAAAAAGAAAATCTTGCAAACTTGACAAGTTCACCTATTCAATAGGACTTTTTGTCTCTTTGCGATTTTCTTAGTCCTCTCTCCATACACTCACGTCAGCAGACGGAGGTTGACATCCTCCCTTCCAGTCTGTAGGACTTTGCCTGTTTCTCTTGCCTTACTCCACCAAGACTTCCAAGTAGAGTGTTAGAGAGATGGTGAGAGCAGACATCCTTGCCTCATTCCTCATCTCAGGGAACCATTTAGTCTTGAGCATTCCATGTAAGTTAGAGATGTCTGTAGGCATCTGTTGTCAGACTGAGAAGTTCTGTTTCTACTTGACTAGTACTTTTCTAAAGAATAAATATGGAGGATTTCAGCATTTATTAAAGATAATCATAATTTTTCCTCTTCTCTTCATGTGGGGAATTATACTAATTAATTTCTTAAAGTCTAATTAGGGGCTGGCTGGAGGGATAGCTCAGAGGTTAAGAGCACTGACTGCTCTTCCAGAGGTCCTGAGTTCAATTCCCAGCACCCACATGTGTAGATGTAACCAACAGTCTTATTAAATAAGAAACACAGAACCAATGCAAAGAAGAAAGCCAAGAGGTCAGAGCTAAGAGCTAAAACCTTACCCTTCCTCCTGCGGTGGTCCTAACTCTCCAAACCAAAGCTACTTCCTGTGTTAAAGTCTTTATATAGACTTTCTGTTCTGCCTTCTCATTGGTTGTAAACCCAACCACATGACTGCCTCGTCACGGCCTGTCTGTACAGACCTCCAGTTTTTCTCAGGTTGGTATTGAGATTAAAGGCATGTGTATCCAATACTGGCTGTATCCCTGAACACACAAAGACTTACCTAGCTCTGCCTACCAAGTGCTGGGATTACAAGCGTACGCCACCACTGCCCTGCTTTCCTATGGCTTGCTAATAGCTCTGACCCCTGGGCAACTTTATTTATTAACATACAAATAACATTTTAATACAAATAAAATATCACCATACACATGATGGCTCACAATCATCTCTAATGAGATCTGGTACCCTCTTCTGTATACATAATAAATAAATAAATCTTTAAAAAAAATAAATAAATAAAAATAAAGTTTAATTAGCTTTACATGCCAGGAATCAAAACCCTACTTGGTTGCATGCTGTCATTTCTTTCGGTTGGTTGGTTGGGTTTTTTTGGTTTGGTTTGGTTTGGTTTGGGTTTTGTTTTTTGTTTTTTGTTTTTTGTTTTTGTTTTTTTTTGTTTTTTTTTTTTTGAGGTGGGGTGGTTAGATAGGATTTCTCTGTATAGCCCTGGCTGTCTTAGAACTAGCACTGTAGACTAGGTGGGCCTCAAACTCAAAGGAATTTGTCTGCCTCTGCCTCCCAAGTGCTGGAATTAAAAGTGTGCACCACAACCCAGTGCATGCTATCCTTTTAATATGTTGATACTGATGAATTCATGTTGCTAATATTTAAGGTTTTTACATCTATGTTTATAAAGGATAATAATCTGTAATTTTATTCTCCTTTGATGTTCAATTTCATATTTTTAAAAAGTAAAAACTACACCAAGATGCCATTTCTTACCTACCCACACAGTAAAAAACTTAAAGACCAATAATATTCTCTATTAAGGAGGTTATGAGAAAACAGGTGTTTGTTCATTGCTTATGAGGATACAAATGATGTGAGCCTTAGAGAGAAATGTAGGCATATTTGGCAGTGTCTGACAGAACTACATGTGCATTCTAGAGTTTACCTTTTTTTGTTGGTTTGTTTTTCGAGACAGGGTTTCTCTGTGTATCCCTAGAGACCAGCCTGGCCTTGAACTCAGAGATCTGCTGGCCTCTGCCTCCTGAGTGCTGGGATAAATAATGAAACATGTGCATGAGGATATTTACTACAGTGATATTTACAATTGCAAAATATTGGGAACAACCAATGCCCATACACAGGCTAGGATAAATACCTATTATATGAAGGAACATTATGTAGCTATGTAAATAAGGAAATTTCTATTAACTGATTTCCAGGATATATTGTGAAATAAAAAACAAATGAGAGCTGGGCCTGGTGTTTGAAGCCAGTGATCTCAACTCTCAAGCCTGAGGCAAGAGAAGCAACCTAGCTACACTGTTGTTGTTTGGAGTGGGGTGAAACGGGGTTTCTGTGCATAACCGCTCTGACTGTCCTGGAACTAGATTTGTAGACCAGGCTGGCCTTAAACTCACAGAGCTCCTCCTGCCTCTGACTCGAGTGCTAGGATTAAAGGTGTACGCCACCATGCCTGGCTTGCTATATTGTTTTATTTATCTTGATTTTGTTTTTATTTCACTATTTTTGCTGAATACAGTTCCTAATTTGCTAAGTACTTTATGTATTTTAAAGATGTTCTGCTTACCTCGAGTATATCATCTCTGATGAAAAGCCTTAGGAACTTTAGGTCAAAGGGTCCATCTCAGTGGTAGACAACATACTGAAGCACAGGCCCTGAGTTCAGTCCATGACTGGCCGGCCTCTAGCTCCTCCCTTGCCTCCCTCCCTGGGTGTACACCAGGATACCTTTTATTTTTCAAATGTCAGACTGTCCCCTCATCCTGTAAGTTACTACTTCATGAACAAATGCATTTCTGTCTACAGCATGTGGTTTTGTAGACCTCCATTGTTGTATTTTAAAAAGGGTAGGAAGGAGTCATACCATACAACAGGGCCCGTGTAGGAGGTTTATTGAGGGGAAGGGGAAAGAGAAGGGCAGAGAAGGGGGCAGGGACAAGGACAGACGCACGCTCGCGCGCGCACACGCACACACACACACACACACACACACACACACACACACACACACACACACACGAGGTGTACAAGGCCCACCTTTTATGAGGAAACATAGCAAGGTTATATTCTGTTAGGACCCACAGGGCAGGCCAGTGCAGATGCCTGAATGCTAGCATCCATTATGTCAGAACACTCAGGGCACACCGTGCCATGTGCTTTTTGAATGGACTTCTGTCTAACTCCCTCCTCTCCACACAGGGAGATGTTCTTTACTACTATGGAAAGCCATCTTCTGCGCTGCAAAGTGTTAGAGATCATATTCCTCCACAGTTGTGAGACACCTACCCGGCTTCCCTTGTCTCTGGCCCAGGCCCTCTACTTTCTGAACAACTCCACATCACTGCTCAAGTGTCAGGTACTTTCCTTTCTGCTTCAGTTCCTCGCCCAGAGCACTTTCCCTAATCCTGCTGTTTGGGCATCATGGAAGAGCTTTGGAAACTGTGCTGTAACTGGGACCTTTAACTGGGCAAGCATTCATTACCTGCTGCTTTTACTATCTCTGCAGTCAGATAAAGCCCAGTGGCAGACATGGGATGAGCTGGTTGAGCATCTGCAGTTCCTGCTGTCCAGTTATCAGCATGTGCTGAGAGGTAAGGGGCACTTGCTCACAAGAGGAGGTCCTGTGAGAAGTCTCACAGTGACGTTACATAAAGGACAGTTTCCCAGATCATTCTCACTTGTTGGTGACACTGGTGTAATCCCAGCACCCAGGAAAATGAGGCAGAAGGATGAAGAGTTGAAGGCTACATAGTAATAGTGTGTCTCAAAAAAAGTAATAAGCCATCTTTCCAGCTGATATTATTTTTTTTCCAGCTGATATTATTAACGATTAAGAGCACTTGCTGTTCCTATAGAGGACCCAGGTTCGATTCCTAGCTCCCACGTGGTAACTAACAACTGTAACTCCAATTCCAGGACACCCAGTGCCCTCTTCTGTCTTCTATAGGCATAGCAATATGTGCTAATAGAGATGCAAGCAAAACATCAATGCATAAAATAAAAATAAGTAAATTTAACTTTTAAAAATAGAAACGAGCTGAGCGGTGGTGGTGCACGCCTTTAACACCAGCACTCGGGAGGCAGAGCCAGGCGGATCTCTGTGAGTTGGAGGCCATCCTGAGATACAGAGTGATATCCAGGACAGGCACCAAAACTACACAGAGAAACCCTGCCTCAGGGAGGGGTGGGGAATAGAAACAAGAAGACAGGTGGTATAATCGGACATTCCTTGTCCTGACCTCCTGCTCCCAAATACCCGGCAGCTGCTTCCCAAATTACCACACAGAGGCTTATATTAAATAAATGCTCGGCAGATAGCTCAGGCTTGTTACTAACTAGCTCTTACAACTTAAATTAACCCATTTCTATTAATCTTTGTATTGCCACGTGGCTCATGGCTTTCCTGTCCTCTAGCATGTCTTGCTTCCTGGGCAGCTGGCTGGCATCTTCCCTGACTCTGCCCTCCTTCCCATCCTTCTCAGTTTGGCTTTCCTGCCTAACTTCCTGCCCAGCTACCAGCCTGTCAACTTTTTATTAACCAATGAGAGTAATACATATTCATAGTGTAGAAAGGGTTGTTCCACACCAGGTGGTGCATACCTTTAATCCCACACTCAGGAGGCAGAGGCAGGTGGATCTCTGTGAATTAGAGGCTAGCCTGGTCTACAGAGTATGTTCTAGGACAGTTAGGGCTACACAGTGAAACCCTCTCTCAAAAAAACCAATAATAATAACAAAATCAAAAATTTAAAGCATCATTCCTTGATTACAAGTACAGGGAGCATAGCTAGAATCACTGTGATGAGAAAATGTTCTTATTTTGTTACAGCTGATGGTAATACAGTGGTCCTCCTAGTTATGAGGTTCTGTGGATAAGCAAAAAACATCCTATCATAAGAACCCTGACTTCTCTAGCACCTTTGTTGAGTCAGATGTTCACAGACTAGCAATATTAGAAACAGCTGTCAGTAAAGTACAACTCTAGAGCATATCTGCAGCAAGATGGACATCTTTAAAATGGATAGGATTGTAGCTCAGGGTTAGAGCATTTGCCTTGAATGTGTGAGTCCCTGAGTTCAATCCCCAGTGCTGCGGACAGGGAAACCTTCAAGTCTATGAAATAGTGCTGTTCAGAGTTGCTGGGAGAGTTAGACTGGGTAGCATGCAGGCTGCACATGCTGGCAAAAATCATGGTTGAATAACTTCATCAAGTAAGAATGATTTCACTAGGGATTATTGAGGACCTTGGTAAATCTGAAGAAATGACAAATTAATAAATGATTAGAAAGACTAGGACGATAGCTCAGTTGGCTGAGTACTTTCCAAGCATTCATGAAGCCCTGGATTCAGTCCCAGCACAGCATAAACTAGCATTCAGTTGGAGAATTCTAGGAGAATCAGAAATTCAAGGTCACCTTTGGCTACTTAGCAAGTTAAGGCCAGCCTGCAATACAGACCTTGTCACTAAGGAAGTTTGTAAACACAGTACTAAGTACATTTTTTTTTCTTTTTTGAGATTGGACTTTGTTTTGTATTTCAGGATGGTCTGAGACCTACTATGAATCCCAGGTTCTCCGACCTCAAGCTCCCCGGTTGCTAGGTTTACAGGAGTACACCACCACGACTGACCAAAAATAGTAACATCACGGGGGAAAAACGGGGCATTTCCCCTGGACATGTTGGATGGAGAACACAGCCTCAAATGCTGTTGTTTCCATAGCTTGGCTGTCCTAGTCAGGGTTTCTGTTGCTGGGATAGGATAGAACTCCATGACCAATAGCAGCTTGGGGAGGAAAGGGCTGATTTCACTTATGCCTCCTATCACAGTCCATCATCCAGGGGAACTGGGAAACAGGAACTGAAGCAGAGGCCATGGAGGAGTGCTGCTGCTGCCGCCGCCGACATGCTTCCCCTACCTTACTCAGCCTCCCCCAACCACCAGAGTTTCTCTGTGTAACAGCCCTGGCTGTCCTGGAACTCTGCTTTGTAGACTGGACTGGACTCTAATTTAGAGATCCACCTGCAAGGGCTGGGATTAGAGGTGTGTGACACCATGCCTGGCTTCACCCTGTGTCCTCACAACACCCAGGAGCCTGCCCATACCGTCCAATCTTACAGAGGCATTTTCTCAATTCAGAGTTCCTCCTCCCAAATCAAGTTGATTTTAAACTTGCTGGGACAGAAACCATTTATAAATGAATGGTCTGTCCCTTTCTTTCAAAAGTACTGTTCTCAACTAAAGAGCAGCTAAAGCATGTAAGTGCTAAATATAACGTGTGATCCTAGACAGGATTCTAAATTAGAAAAAAAGGTGGCATTGGAGGGCTGAGGATCAGCAATAAAGCGCTGGCCTAGCACATGCAAGGCCACGTGTTTAGTCCCAGGACTACAAAAATGAAAGGCACAGCTGGGAATCTGAAGTGTGATACATTGTGTTGATATTGTTCTCATTAATTACACCAGGTTACAATAGTAAATGTCCTTGATCTTGGGAAATACATGCTGCGTTATTGATCATGGTATCTGTAGATTATCCTCACATAGTAATGAGGAAATTTTACTTGCCCATGCTTATGTTGAGAGTGACTTTAACTCAGTGATGTCACATAGAAAGTAAAGAGACCTCATGACCTGCTCAGCCCTGGAAACAAGAATGTTGTGCAGGACATTCTTTAAATACTAGCACTAACTTAGTCTGTCTCTAGCCTAAGCTGGCCCTGAACTCATGGCCATCCTCCTGCCTTGGCCTCCTAAATCCTGGACTATAGGGTGAGCTACACATAGGCTTCTAGGTTCACTTCTTCACTACAATGCTGGTGATCTGTAACTTAGAATTGATTATTCTTGTATGAGAAAAAGTAGTAAATTTTCTCACCAGTATCTAAATTTCAGCCTGCCTGTCTGGGGGCAGACAAGTCTTTTCTGTTTCATACTCTTACATCTAAAACTTCAGGGGTCTGGGGTTGTAGTGCTAGAGAGTGAACCCAAGCCTCCTGCATGCTAGACATGCACCTTCCACTTAACTGTACCCCAGTCCTTATAACTAGATGTCAAAGGGTGCAGTTTCAGGCCATAAGTACACAGCTGCATAGAGTGTGCATTTTTTAGCACCCTCAATGAAAAGGACACCCAAACACACACACTAAGTAGTTTTTTAAAAAATAAAAAAATCACATGAATTTTTCCCTAAGTGGTTTTTTGTTTTTTTTCCTTTTCAGAGCTGAGGACTGAACCCAGGGCCTTGTGATTGCTAGGCAAGCGCTCTGCCACTGAGCTAAATTCCCCACCCCCCTAAGTGGTTATTATAGTTTTATTTAGTACAGTTATTACTGTTTAAGTCAAATGAAAGAAACTAGAATGTTTTTAATATGTAAAGTTTCTTGGAGAGGTTGCTCAGTAGGTCATTTACTGCTCTTCCAGAACCACAGGTTCAGTTCACAGCACCTCCATCAGGCAGCTCAAAACTGTCTGTAACTCCACTTGAATCTGATGTCCTTCTGGCCTCTGGGCACCTGCACACACATGGCACACATACAATAAATATCTTTTAGGGTTTGGGTTTTGTTTTTTTGGAGACAGGGTCTATTTAGTCATGACTGCTTTACCCAGCAACATTTTTCTTGACAGTGTTGAGACAAGAACACAAATCTTCAGGAAATGGAGTTCCCATAGTAACTCACGACCTTTTGACTTGTCTCCTAGTAGCCAGGAGCCAGGCCTTGCTTATAAAATTGGACTTTAACTTTTAAATCCCCAGGAACAAAGGCACTTGTTTGACCCCTTCCCTCTTGCAGAGCACCTACGGAGTTCAGTGATTGATCGGAAAGATCTGATCATCAAAAGAATCAAGCCCAAGCCCCAGCAAGGAGATGACATCACAGTGGTGGACGTGGAAAAGCAGATTGAGGCCTTCCGCAGTCGCCTGGTCCACATACTGGGAGAACCTCTAGTCCCCCAGCTCCAAGACAAAGTGCATTTGTTGAAGCTGCTGCTCTTCTATGCTGCCGACTTGAACCCCGACACAGAGCCTGCACCACAGCCTGCCCCACAGCCTGCCCCACAGCACTGAGGCAGCCAGACTTCTAAGCATTGAGTACCAAGAATACCTCCTGACTGTCGCCAGCTACTTAGAAGCTCTGAAGTACAAACAGTAGTTAAGAATATCATAGGACCAAACCTATCTTATTTATCTGTAGGCTGTAATCACTTTGAAACTCTTCAGTATATCTTTTTTTATAATCCTTATCCTAGCCTATTCAAATGTGGCTTAAATATACAGTGTGTGTATATATTTTTTATTAAATTATTTATCTATGCTTTGGAAACAGGCAATACGATATGCACTATATGTCCAACATTTCCATTCAAGATGTGAAAGACCCCCTTCTGCTGAACAATCTCCATCAGTGTTACATCAGTCAAGGTACTGATCGCCTGTTTCTGGAAAGACAGTTTTTCCTGAATAGAGCATATTCTATATTAGACTTTTCATATTGCCTATGAATATGACTGTGGCCAGTTATTTAAAGATAAGATAAAGCAGGCAAAGAAAGAAAGGATAGAGCCTGTTAATGAAATGCATGATGTCAGAAAGATACAACAAAAGGCACTAAGTTTACAATGCTCTGGCTCTACTACAGGGCAGGCAGAATGGACAAGAGACCCGGGTTTGAGAAAGTAGTAAAGATTTTTATTGTCAATACAAGATAACACAAATAAATTAATTTTTACAACAATCTTAGACTCCAGAGCTTCTCTGTGAGGTTAGCTCATTATGTAAACAGACTAATTTCTAAAATGATCTAGCAAGCGAATGTGACAGTGTGCAAGACCAACAGACCTGTGAACAATGAGAATCCTTTCCTCAGTAAGATGTGTTACTGAACATATGAGGCTAACTTGGTGGAAAATGCTGTCAAGGTTATCACAATAAGGTGAAACCAAGTTCAGATGAACCTGAAGACTATAATCCAATTGTACCTATCTTTAACAAAAGCTTGAGCTGGGAGTGGTGGTATAGGCCTTTAATCTCAGCACTGGAAGGCAGGGGCAGGTAGATCTTCTCTTTGAGTCTACTGAGTGAATTCCAGCCTAGCCAAGGCTGCATAGTAAGACCCTATCTCAAAAAACAAAACACACACAACTAAAAAAAACTTAGGATTTAGGAACTAGGGGTGAAAATCAGTGGTAGAGCACTTACAAAACACACACAACTAAAAAAAAACTTAGGATTTAGGAACTAGGGGTGAAAATCAGTGGTAGAGCACTTGCCTAGCATGAGCAAGACCCAGTAAGGGAAGGGGGAAAAGGAGTTATTTATCATCATGAAACCAGTAGACTCAATTAGGAGCTCAATTAATTTCATGTTAAAGTGCAAAAGAGGCCATGCGAGACTAGTGTTTGTTCTGTGACACAGCAGATAGACAGCCCTCCAACTGCAGGGTCAGGACAAAGTGTACACTGGACTAATCAGGAAAAAGAACCCGTGATTCAACTTAAGAGAGCCAGGTTCCTGCCAAGTGTGGTCATGAGCTGTACCCAGCTCTCAGACAAGTCCAGGCCCATTCACAAGGCATGTCAAGAAGCCATGGCTGTCCAAATGAGTTGGTGGGCACCTCTATCATGATTTGTAACTGCTCATGTTGATAGTTTTGGAAGCACAACAGCACTATTTACCTAAGAAAGCAAAGGTCAAATCCTCCTCTGGGATAAATGATTTTAAAAAAAAAAGTTGAGGTCCCCACTCAGCACCACTGACATTTTCCACCAACCTGAAAGCAGTGCAAAATGGTTTCTCTCACACAAGGACAATCTGAACAATGTCACTCCAGCCTCCAGTTAACTACATCACTATGTCAGAGCCCAGGGAAAGTTGCAGACCCTGGACAGAAAGCATTCTAGAAGCCAGTGGGTGTGAGCACATTCAGGTCACGGGGTTTGAGATTATGGGTTCGAGGTGGTGGTTTCTTCACTTCTACCACTGGGATATCCATCTTAGGCGGCTTGAAGGTTGCTGGATCGTCACCTACTCGTGTGGCTTGAGCACGCATTAGCTCCATAGGAGAGGGTTTCGGGGCACCTTTGTAAGCCTGGATGGCAAAACCTGCCAAGGAAAAGCAAATGATTACAGCCCCCAGCCCACATAGCAGCCAGGGCCTCGCTACTCTTTCTGAAGGAGCTGCCTTACCAGAGTCAGACCTCTGCAGGGGCCTGGATCCAAAGAGGCTCCACTTTTCTGCTGAGTTCTTGTCATTCCCACTCCCAGGATCCATGGTGTGAGAATTTGGGCCAGGTAAGGCTGTGGAGGAACCAGAGGGGAACCAGCCTCTGGAACAGAGAAGTAAATAGATATTTCTGAATGGCCTCTTCCTGTGTCACAAGAAGTGTCTTCCACCAAAGCAACAAGAAACCACAGGCTGGAGGCCAGCGCCATCTCAGCACTGGCTTTCCTGAAGGAAGGGCTCACCTGGACTTCTGCTTGGGGGAGGAGTGGGGGGTGCTGCCTGGAGTGGACTGGGCTGATGCAGGATGCTTCTCTTCTTTTGTTGTCTCGCCACTCTGCAGCTTTAGTTTCTGTTCAGATGCAAGAAGCGACTTCAGAGGACAGCAGACACAAAGCAGTGCAGTCGGGGCAGAAGCACTCGGACGCACATCCTAACTTCAGGGATTTTGTTTCTCCTACACTGGATGGACACCACGTTCCTATGGAGCTGTGCTCTAGAGCACCTCACACTCCTGCACTAGAACTTATGTGTCCAAAAAGGCCAAGTCGTTCAGGGGAAGAGGCACCAAGCTGCAAACCTCTTAGATCTGGCCTTCAATTCTGCTCCTGACTTTCAGTACAACACCTGCCCTGCTCAGACTTTCAAATTAAGACTCAGACTTGCTGTCCTCTTTAGCGAAATGTTTCCTCCAAGAAACCTACCTCATTCTCCCTCCTCTCCCATAACCAACCACCTCCACAGCATTGTTAAAATGCTATAGGTCTAAGACTATACTATAGAGCTATAGGTCTAAGCTGAAGCTCCAGAGTAGCAAGCAGGTCTGTTCTCCATGAGGGCTATGCCTCTCTCTGCTGGACCCAAGCTGACTTTCAACACATCAATTTGTGTAAGCTGACAATCTGTTATACGATGAATGGCAAAAACTGAGCACAAGAAGCATCTCTCTTGTCTAAGCTCAAATGGACACCAGTTCAACACTGACTTCTCACAGCAGTGGCTTTTAAACTTAGCCTGCAGATTCTTCTGGAATACTCCTTCCACATGCAGCCCATCCATGGTGTCCTGCATCTTCCCCGCCCCCACATACACACATGTACACCATCTCCTGGTGCTTTTTATGTTCTTCCTATGCCCAAAGGAACTTGCCATGGCTACTTGGATTTTTGTTTGTTCATTTGTTTTTGGTTTTTTTGAGACAGGATTTCTCTGTGTAGCCCTGGCTGTCCTCAAACTCAGAGATCCACCTGCCTCTGCCTCCTGAGTTCTGGGATTAAAGGCATGTGCCACCACTGCCCAGCCTTTTCTTTCTTTAAAAAAAAATAAATAAATGCATGCTAGGCGGTGGTAGCGCACGCCTTTAATCCAAGCGCTCAGGAGGCAGAGCCAGGCGGATCTTTGTAAGTTCCAGGCCAGCCTGGCCTACAGAGCGAGATTCAGGAAAGGCACAAAGCTACACAGAGAAACCCTGTCTCGAAAAACCAAAAAAAAGTGTGTGTGTATATAGGTTGTTTTAGGGTTTCTCTGTGTAACAGCCCAGGTTGTCCTGGAATTCTCTAGACCAGGCTGGCCTCGAACCCACAGAGATCCGCCTGTCTCTGCCTCCTGCGTGCTAGGATTAAAGGCGTGCACCACCACTGCCCTGCTTTATTTTTATTTTTTATGTGCATGAGTGTTTGCCTGCATGTGTGTGTATATATATATATATATATATATATATATATATATATACTGTGGGGGGAGGGTGTGCACACAGGGTAGGAATGCATAAGGAGATCATCTTCCCATCACTAATCAAAAGCCACTCACTGGAGTTGGGGATTTAGCTAAGTGGTAGAGCGCTTGCCTAGGAAGCACAAGGCCCTGGGTTCGGTCCTCAGCTCCAGGAAA